ACAGGCTGAGGCAGGACGGGGCCGTGTGTGAGCTGCAGATCCGGGGCCTGGCCGTGGCAGACTCTGGGGAGTACTCGTGTGTGTGCGGTCAGGAGAGGACCTTGGCCATGCTGACCGTGAAGGGTAATAATTGTGTGTCACTTCTTCTCCTACTTGTGTTTCTGCTGTCCCTGTGTCTCTCTGTGTCATTGTGTCATTTCCATATCCACACGTGTGATCCTTCTCCCATGCACGCTGACGATACTCGGGGTGCCCTGCTAGGGATGGTGTGGACCCTGGTATGAGCAGTACTAATTGCCAGTGGGATCTCTGGGAGACAGCTGTCCCCAGGAGAATGGGCTGTGGCCTATTGCTGTACTGAGGGCATATATGGAGGGGTTCATGGGCACTGTGGGGTCCCTGAGGCAGATGGCCAGGCTGCTCTCCTGAGTCTCTTATGCTGGTCACTTGACCCTGGGGCTGTGTGCCAGGCTTGAAGCATTGATGCCTTCATCCATGCAGGCCACCCTACAGTGCGCAGGCCAAGTGGCTCCGAGACTAGAAAGCTGCTCGCATAATTCTGGAGGCCGGAGCTCACGTCAGGGCATCCACAGGCTTGAGGCCTTTAGTGGCAAACCCTTGTCCCTGTATGTGTGTGTGTGTGTATGTGTCCTGCTCTCCCCTTCTGTGGACACACCTCTTGGTTGTTTTTGATTTGAGACCACCTGGCCTTCATTTAATTTGACTCCTTTGAACTCTGTCCTGAGGGAAGAGTCATGTTCTGAGGTTTAGGGTTCAGGGCTTGGATATGAGTTTGGAGGGCTGCAACGTGGCACACTGTGACCTCCCCAGACTGCTGTCCTTTTCACCTGAAAAGCACATTGCTTGATCCCCACCAGCCCAGAGGCTCAGCCTGTTCCAGCATCCAGTCTGAGTCCAGCATCTCTAAATGTCACTTCTATTAAGTGAGAGACGTGGGGTATGACTTGTCCTGAGCACACTTCCTCCCTCACTGTGAACCTACAGCCCCAGACGTGGTGTATGCTTTCCCCATAGTGACGAGGGGGAGACAGACACAGATAAGCATTTTTACCTAAAAAGGGGGAAATAGGGCAGAAAAAATAGGCCTTGGATCCCAAGCCAGTCTGAAACAGCAGGACAGATTTTAGTGAGTTTCAGGCTGGAGAATCTTCTGGCTCCATGCTGTCCTCTAGCTCCATCAGAATGGCCCCCTGCCCTTCAGCCCTCGTGGCTGTGTCACTCCCTGGACCGGTGTGGAGACTCATTGGTCTCTTGGCGTACCTTGGGAAGGAATAGCGGCGTGAATGAGGAAAAGATAGACAAGAGACAAGAGCTGGGTCAGGTAGAGGCCTCTTTACCAATGGGAAAAGAGGACTAACAACAGTAGGGGCGTTTACTTATACTTTTGCAAGGTTAGTATCATGAGAGGCAATGTTGCATAGTGACTAATGACTGAAATTGTCCAGGCAGGATGTTTTTTTAAGACTGAGGTAGCTTGATTGCTTGAGGCACTCTGGCTCTGTCCTGCCGTCACATGTATGACCAATTTCCAGCTCCAGCCGCTCCCAACAGACTGGAGAGAGGGGGCCTAGCTTCTGGGTCCCTGGTGACAGGGCCACCCCTGTCCCTCTGACCTCTCCATGGTCGTCCTTCATCTGAAGGACAGCACGTGTGCAGCTGGTGGCCCACTGCCTCATCCTGTAGGTCTGGGGAGTCTGATAGCCTTCCTTCTTTTCGTGCGATCCATCCCACATTGCAGCATTTCTCCTGGTGTGAAAGCCACAAAACCCTTGTCAGTCCATGTGGTTCATGGGATTCCAAGTCACTGAATGAGAGGCCCCTCCTCAGAGTTTCCCTGGGTAATCTCATCTCTCTTACGTGTCAGGTGAGATGAGATGCTTGTCTAGCTAAATACTTGATGTTTGCTCTAGACCTCCCCTCCCCCGTAGTACATACATGCCAGCAGTTTTGTCAGTTTTTAAGTTCTGCTTCCTTTTAGCTAAATAAATCTTCCTTGAATTTGTCTCTTTTTCCCATTTTATTACAAGAAATAAAGAGAAGCCAGGCCATACCTTCAACACGTTGCGTAGAAATCCCAGCTACATGTCTAATTTCATCATTCCCATTTTCTTCCTTCCACAAAGCACTGCAACACAGTTTGGCCAAATTCTTTGCCACTTTATGACCAGGATCACCTTTTTCCAACTACTCATTTCCCATTTCCATCTGAAACCTGACCAGAAGCATCATTAATATCTATACTTCTGGTAAGGGTCCTGTCTGGGCCATAGAGGTTTTTCCTAACATGTACTTCACAAGTCTTCCAGACACTAGTCATGACCCAGTTCTGAAGCCTCTTGCAGGTGTTCGGTGTAGGTCCAGCAGCGCCTGACGCATCAGGGGCCTGCATTGGAATTCTGTGGCTGGGATGCCACAACAAAGCACTGGAGGCTGGGCTGCTCAGCAGAGGTGCATTTTCCGCTGGTATGGAGGCTGTGCCTAAGGTCAGATGGCCTGGAGCTTGGGTGCCTTTGAGGCCACTGTCCTCAGCTTCCAAATAGCAGTCATCTCCCATGTCTTCCTGCTGCCATCCTTTTTGCATCCTACTTCTTTCTTACAAAGGTGCCAGTCATATTGGGTTAGCCCCATTTCCAGATAGTTACTTTCTGAACTGTAAGTGTAGGGAGTCAACATGTGACTCTCTGGGGAACACAAATGACAGAAGTAACCAGGGTGAGCCTTGTCCATGGTGACTCATGGAGCTCATGCTGTGGACTCAGTAGACTGGACAGTGGAGCAGGGCACAGGGCTGAAGGCATGGGAAGGCAGCTGGTGCTAGACCACTGGGATCCACAGAATGAACCAGGAGAGGAGCAGCGATAGGTGGTCTGGCTCTAGTCGTGTTGAGACAAGAACATGTGATGTAGAGGGCATGGGGCCTCATGTGCTCAGGCATGACCAGGGCTGGATGGGAGCCCTGCCCAGGATATGTGTCCTATCTAGGAAGCAGGGAGAGGTCATGACAGGTGCCACCTGTGGGGTCACATGAGAGGCCCGTATTGTTGCTATAAGGCTATAGGCTGAAGGAGGCTGTCGTGCTTCCCTGCAATGAGAGCTACTCTCTTTGAGAAGATAGATCTGGAATGGAGCTGTCTCCCAGCCAACCTGCACCTTGGCAGGCAGAACACAGGAATCTCACTCATGGATCCATGTCTTCCCATGACCCTCCAACCTTCCTGTATGCTGAAGTCATGACTTCAGAACCATCAGTGTTTGAGAGCTTGTCTATCTGATCCTTCTTAGCCCTACCTGCACGATTCATTCAAGACATGAAGTCCCTGGAGGCCAGGGAAGGGGCCACAGAAACACTGGTGTGAGCTGAGCAAGGTGGCCCCAGTTGATGGGATGAAAGGGATGAAGCCCCTCAGAGGAGGGGACAGACACAGCCTGAGGCAGGAGGGGGCCGTGTGTGAGCTGCAGATCCGTGGCTTGGCTGCAGCAGATGCCAGGGAGTACTCGTGCATATGTGGGAAGGAGAGGACCTCAGCCATGCTGACCATTATGGGTGAAGACCACAAGTGGCCACATAAAATTATGTCCCAGTGCCCAAGTATTGATCTCATGCTGCAGTATCACTCATCCGCTGTTCTCTGTCCAGTCTCTGACATCTCTTCCTGCCTCTGCGTGGGATTGCAGCCTTCGTACCCTTGTGCCATAGTGGGTTCTGCTGTGTTGGATTCTGTGTCTGGTCCTCATTATTTTGCCAAAATTTTGTAGAAAACCTGAGGTTCTGTATGTGTTTCATGCCAAGGGTGAGGCCCAAGGCTGCCACAGAAGGGGCATGCACAGGCCAGTCTGGGGGAAGTCGTGGTCCACAGCTTTTCCATAGCACCTGCAGTGGAGAGTTTCTGGTGTGGTCTTGTGTCTCCTCTGTGATCCCTGCATCCACCCTCTTCACGTGCTTGGGGTGTGATCGTGTCCGTGCTTTTCTGACCTCTCCCAGCCCTGCCCGCCAAGTTCACAGAAGGCCTGAAGAATGAAGAGGCCACGGAAGGGGCC